TGGGCCTTGTTCCTTCACCAACTACAGCAGATCCATCCTCTGCTCCCCCATGCTCTTTTCTTTAGCTCTGTCCCTGTGTCCTGCCTGAGGCTGGTGTGGCTCTAGCAGGCACTACAGAGCACAGTGAAGCCTGTGGGTCTGCTCAACACATGTAGCTACTGATAAAGCTGATAGATACCTGCATAGAGATGTGTGACTGAAGTAAACATCTCAACCGCCTATTGCATCCTTATGGTAATTGCTAGTAGAGAAGCAGTATTTAATTACTCCAGGCTCAAAATAATTATTCTGTACAGGCAGAACTGGGAGCAGCCCTTGCTGTCTGTCCCCAGCGCATATACCATACTGATGTGGTTCACGTAACATTTTTGGTGCTTGTAACACTGCTTGGAAAGATTTGTTTCAATTCAAACAGAAATTGCGGGCTTGCAATGGCAAGGAAGCTGTCATATGGGCAGGAGGAGAGGTGTGATAAATATCTGAACGCTTTGTTCAGGGAACAATTAATTACTCACCAGGTGATGGCATTTTCCATTTTGTTCCAGGCATGAGTTTATGGGTGTGCATTCAATTCCATTCCCTCGAAATCCATCCTTACACTTGCAGTCATTCTTTTGTTTCAATGTAACACAGCAATTCATTAAAATGATTAAAATAGTGTGCATATTCTAGACGTAGTGAATCAGTCTGTTTCTGCGTAGCTCCATTGACTTCAGTAGAATGACACTGATTAATATCTCCAGAAGACCTTTATACCTGACAACTACTAATGTACTTACTAAAAAGTTATTGCTGCCAGAACACCACCACGTAGGAGGGAGGGAGTGAGCAGTGGGATGTAGACTGGAGGAGACTGTTTTGAGTTTAGAGTGCTTTGTGGAAATAGCCTTTTGGCTGGGAGGGAGAGGAGAATTTGGGGAAGGAAACAGGGTAGGAAGCACTGGCAGAGCAAAATGGGTGAGAACTAGTGCCAAAGGCATCAGTGAATGTGAGAGGACATACCTGACCCGGCCCAACGTATATGCAGGTGGCATTCTCGTGGCACATTGAGGTGGGCAGCAGGCAGTTGTTGATGGCTGAACAGTCCCTTCCATCACCTGTCCATCCTGGTTGGCAAATGCATGTGTGCTCTCCTGGGCCCACCTGAATGCACTCAGCCTGGGACAGATGCAGAGGCCTCCATTCAGGACAAGTAGGTGGCATCTGGCTTTAGGTGTAAGGCTTGTCTAAGCAATAGCAATGCTGCTATCAGGGGGAATAACTTGAAACTGCAGTGAAAATTGTGGCTCTTCCATCTACAAAATTTCTGACCAAGCCTTCCTTACTGCCTGCTTTTCTATAGTGTTGGGCTCTGTGGGAAAAGCACATACTTACATTGATATTACAGCCACCTGGGTTTAAAGCAGCACAAGGATCAGCTTTGCTGCAGCTTATGCCATCTCCCTCGTAGCCAGGTTTGCAAACACAGCTATAGAGACAAGAGGAGGAGGGAGGCATTAAACATGATAGGACAGCTATAAAGAAAAGTGATTGTTTTCCACTGTAACATGCTATTTGTAGGCAGCTTAAAACTGGTAGCCTTGGATTCATGATGCAAATAGCTGAAATGCATACATTATGGGTTGTTTTTCCAAAATATTGACTGGGTTAATAAAGTCAAACCAGGGATCCATTCTCTGTCTATGGGGTAGGGAGTGAAATTAATTCTACACTGATATAATCTTTGCAAAAGTGAGTTAGTAGCTCTAAATTAATTATGAGCTGGAGTTGCTCTTTCTTTTAGTGAGACAGAAGATAGTGTTATCCCTGAAATGCATTCAAGACAATGAGCCCCACTGTTTCCCTGGATTCTCCCTGAGATTAACCCATATCGGAGGGAATTGCTTAAGCACGCAAGTTACACAGCATCCCACATTCTGCTTTTTGTGGTGACTTGTTATGAATACACTGTGGCAAGAGACAAACTTGGTGCATGTGAAGTTGAGGATGAGGCAAGCACAAGGCAGCTGTAGCAGCAGCAGAGTTTTGTGACCAGTCCTGTCAGGACTGGAGGGCCTGTGCTGAAGCGTGTGGTGTTGTGGCCTGCAAATCTTACCTGAGCTGACTGGAGTGAGTTATCTGTCCCCATACTGCTTGAGAGTTTCATTGTCTCTCAACAAGGCTCAAACTCCTAATTCACTAAGGGATGATTAAAAATAAAATGTTCCTAAGAACCTTTATAGATGTTGGTAGGAAGGCAGCCTTCTGAACAAGGGTCAGATCTGTATGCATCTATCTTATCAGTGTTAAATAGGAGGTACGGGACAGGCCATTGAGAACTCTTTAATTACTATCTTGCAACTCAAGGTTAATTCAGTGCATGCTTACACTTACTTGTTGCATAGCAATATTTCAGTGGCTGATGTTTATGTACTGCTGCAAGGTGCTGTTTTGATCAAGCAAATAGGAAAGGGCTGCATTATAGTTAATATTAATTAGATGCAAGTTACTGACTTACCTCACTACACCATCGCTAAGCTGACAGTCTGCATGTGCATGGCAGAGGTGGAGGGAGGGCTCACAGGGAACAATCTGCTTATCACAGAGTTTCCCCGTGTATCCACTTCTGCATGATCCAGGAAGACAGATCCCGTCACTGTCTATTCGGTTATCGCACTTCCCATAAACACAGAGGCACTCTACCAGAGATAAATTACAATGTGCAGTTACATAGTGCTAAAAGGCATCTATCCTTACATAGCATTTTTTTAATGAATTGGGTCCTCTTTTTTTTTTTTTTTTTTTCCTAGAAGCTAAACTTTTGTATTTCTAAAGTCTCACTTTGTTGGGAGACATTCTTTATCATATTGATTTCTTTTCAGGTGTATTTTATACATAAAGATTTTTTTTTTAATAATGCACTTATCTATCAATGAAAGTCAAAGTACTTCAGAGAACTAGGAACAAAATACTATGTCCCAGGCTATTAAGGCTAAAATGATTTAATCGCACAGCTTTTGGTGTACTTTCAGTGATATGGGAAGCCTTTTAATGCTGAGTCCACAGTCCTACAAATTGCACAGTTCTGGGCTAGTACACAGAGCAGCAGCACAGATCTATTGGTGCTTTGCTGTGTCTGGGCTGACTGGTGCTGCTGGGAGGTACAGCAATGTGCCCAAAGGAGATAGTAGGTAAACCTTCTGCAATCCCAAGACGTGCCAGTGGTGACTAATTAAGCCAAAACATACTGCTTTGGCAGGATTGAAGCTTAGGCAATACCACCCTTTCTTATGGAATTTTTCTTTTGGTTTTTGTCCATGTACTTCTGAACCTTTGAGTGAGCTGTGCTTGATGAAAGGCAGGCTGTTTCATAGCAAAAAAAAAAAAAAGACTAAAAATTATTGCTAGATGGGGAATATATCTATATTTGATGTTGTATATTCTGTAGAGTTTCAAATGTAGTATGATTTGATGTAGCAGGACTAAATTTGTTGGTATATAGAAGATGACTGCTGGAACGATAAGCTTTTCAATAGATCAGAAATTATTCAGTAAAGATGGCCCTAAACACAATCTGTTTATATCTAGTTGTTCTTAGATTCCATATGTTTGTCATTTCAGGCAGAATCTGTTCTGTTGTGGGCAATACCAGACGGGACTGGAATAGCAAAGGTTTTCTTTTCAATTATTTATGTGAGGGAGACAGAAATGAAAAGAACAATAAATTAACATAAAGCAAGCTATGGCCCCTGCAGAAAGCCCAATTAGGTCAGTGAGATTTTCACTGACTCTGGGCTTATGATATATCCCTTTGAATTAAGAAATGAATGTACCTCAGAGAGATCTTGCTCATCCTCTGTAGAGATTGTTTACCAAGCAGTTAACTCCTACCTTGATGTTACTAAGGTCCAAAAGAAATAGACCATGCTCTTGGGCTGAGGAAATATGGCAGTACTTACCTTTGTCACACTGAGGTCCATATTTGCCAGGGTCTGAGCAGAACTGACAGTGTGAGCCTTGAAATGCCTCAGCACAAATGCAGGTCCCATTTCCACCCAGGCCATCCATGCACTGTGATATGGAAGAGTAGTGATTTTGGTGTATAAATTGAAATAAATCTTTATCCTGCCCCTGGAGAAGAGACTATATGCCTGTCCATATTATGACTGTGATAGATTACCAGGAAGAATTTCAGCTTTGATGAAAAGGGTGTTTCAAAGGAAAAGCTTTCCTTGTGCTTGTACTTTGCTGTTATGTATTCTACCTTCCTTTGCAAATTTAAAAAAAGGATAATGAGCTGGTTCATTATCCTGTGCTGTGAAAGTATCGGAGTGGGTCACCCCACCCCAGCCTTGTGTGTGTGATGTCTGTTGGAACCATGGAAACCTGCAATTTGGACACCTGAGAGAAGAAAGTTTCATTTTCCCTTCCCCCTATAAGTGAACCTGAAATTCATGGCCACCACTGGAACTTGCAGAGCTGAATGTTCCTGTTGTGCAGAAGTGCTTCAGGGACTTCTGGGACACAACCTGTCCTTCCTGCCATGGGAGTGCAGGGTGCTGATGGATGCTCTACTTACCTGTCCATTTCCTGAGCAGGGCTTGGAGAAACCTCCTGGACATGAACTGCAGTCAGGGCCAAAGAAGCCTTTGCAACACTTTGGCTCCTGTGAAATAAAGGAAATATTATCTTTTTCAGTGCCTTAGTGCAGAGGTAGTGCACAAAAGACAACTGTCCATCATGTTTTGGCTCTCTGGGAAAGGCCTGTAGCTGGCTCTTAAACGGCTTGTGTTGAACCAAACTACCTCTGCAATGGCCTTGTTAAAACCAGGAGGGATGTTGGCAGCCCAAGAGGAGAATGCACAGGGCACCAGATCCTTCCCTTGATCTTATCAGGCTCATCAGTATCAGAAATCCCTGGCCTGTCACCAGTTATCTGCTGCATCTGAGATCAGGAACTGGAAGATATGTTTTACCCCAGGGAGATGCTGTGAAAGCTAGACATGCTGCTTTGGTCTTCCTCCTTCCCCTCTGCACCAGTATGGGATTTATCCACTAAACATCCCTAAATGTTGTTCTCAGATGCATCTTTTGTTTTAAGCATTAATTGGGTGCTTGATACATTTATTTATCAAGAACACAGAAAGGGTATTAGAAAAAAACCCCTTGTTTACATCTGTGGGAATGGAGAAATGGGAATTAGCAAAAGACTCTCAAAGCTCTGGGTTTGTAGACTTCTCTGCTTGTTATTTAATGGTGGTCATGAAATGCAGAAGCCTATTCAGGAGACCCAGGAACCAGAAAGATGTAAGTACTTCTCAAGAGCTAATGATTTCTGCAAGGACTAGGTTTGCAAAGCAGAGAAAGTAGAGCACGATTCTCGAGAGTGTTTCCCATTCACTGTTACCCAATACTGTGTGAAGTCCTGGAACCAGGAGGGACCAAACTGTCCTCTTCTTCATGGGTGAAGCCGTATGGCACAACAACAACATCTGGGCTTAGAGCCTTAAGTGAAAACTCCTGTGTTTTACAGAGTGTGAGAGTGTTGTTGTCAATAGGGTAGGGCAACTAAAAAACCTCACTGGAATTTGCCTGGTATTTTGCTCTAAGATATACGGTAGCTCCTCTCAGCCCCCTGTAGAAGTGTATGGAAACTACATGGACATCTCCAAATGTCTCTGAACTCCAAAGGGAAAGTTCATAGTCAAAAGGCAGTATTTTGCAAAACCTTTACAAACATTTTGCCTTAAGGAACCGTTAACTCTATACCTTTATTGTTATATTGCAGGCTCTAGCACAGCCGGTTTTTTGAAAGGTTGGGCCTTCAATAATGCATCTCCGTTTTAAGAAAGGCTGGAATGTGCACAAAATACAAGCATTAGTATTTCTAAGCAACACAGTGTTCTGTGATACAGTTTTAATGGCATAATGTAATTTGAAATGGAGAACAGAAAGCACCTTGCTGTAGTGTTGCATTTAAAAAAATTATTAAATTATGTATTTTTTCATAATTCAAACTTTCTTTTCGTTATTACTGAATAATGGCATATAGGACTAACTACCAATGAATTTTTATAACATGGGGAATAAAATGCCTGTGGTAGTTAGACTTGAGTTTTGTATGTGGAGAAATATGCAGCCAGATTTGCATCTTTTAAATGCAAAGCAGGTGGAAGGTTTTTAATCCTTTCTGAAGCTGCTTCTGCAGACAGTTACTTCTGGGAGGATGCTTAATCAAAAAGAGATTTTTAACAGATGTGAGGTCTATTTAAAATATATCCCTCCTCTATTTTTCATTTACTAAGTCTTAAAGCATAATTGTAGCAATTTTCATTCCTCACTTCTCTCTTCTGCCAAAACCTATCTGAATAGATCCTACTTTACCCGAGAAGACAGTTAGAGCTTCTATGCAGTCTACAAGGGATCTTGCAACAGCAAACAAAATAATGCTGAAATTACCTGATGCCTCAATCATTACCAAAAGAGACTAAAGTACTGTCTATATTTGTATTTTTATGCATTCTCCTGTATTTATATCTAGTTCTTTTGCTCACTGTATTGGGAGAGCAGTAACCAACATATTGGGGGAATGTATCTATCTGTACAACTGGGGAATCTATCAGGAGATGTCACTTACGATGGGCTTTGAATCCTGCGGACAGGGAGCCAATGCATGTGATAAACAACTTGTACAGACACCCTAGGTGGAAACAATAAGGATAGTAATTTAAAAAGTCATTATACTGACTACTGAGATGCATACTTACAGATGACATACCCTATAAATTTTAAGTACCTCAGTTCTATGAGTTTTAATTGTTACAGCATGGATCTGGAATTGAACAGCAACACCAGGGCTATAACTGCTGGCTCTGGTTTTTGCTGAATGGTTGTTCATTTCCACCTTCCCCTTTTTATCTTCACTTATCCTTTCCCCACTCCCTTCTTTTAAAGAATTGTAAG